TTATTTTATTTTTTATCTGTTGATTAGGGCCGGAGGAAAGTATTGTTGGGTTGGTTTCCTACCTGCGTCTTTCCCTCCCACCCACCCTTTGCATGCATTTCCGGGTTGCTACAGTGACACATCAGCTACAGTGACACGTCAGCCGTGCCACGTCAGACACAGTGACACGTCAGCTACAGTGACACGTCAGCAGGCCACGTCACACAGTGACACGTCAGCTACAGTGCCACGTCAGCAGTGCCACGTCAGACACAGTGACACGTCAGCTACAAGGACACGTCAGCTACAAGGACACGTCAGCTACAGTGACATGTAAGCAGTGCCACATCAGCAGTGCCACGTCAGACACAGTGCCACGTAAGCAATGCCACGTCAGCAGTGCCACGTCAGACACAGTGCCACGTCAGACAAAGTGCCACGTCAGCAACATAACGGGCCTGCCGGGCCAATTGGCCAATGAGCCCATTGCCGACTACAAAAAGCGCTTCCATGCTCAGCTCGCTCTAATCGAGGCTGAGGAACAACGCCAGCTGGCAGCCAAGGCTGCCCAGCTACAGGCTGAAGAGGCGGCAACAGCAGAGAAGCTGCAGCTACAGGCCGAAGCAGACGCAGATGCCCAGGCTCGCCGCAAGGAAGCCCAGGCTCTGCTGCAGCGGCAAGAAGCCAACAGCATCGAGAAGAGCAGCATAAGGAGTTCGTGGCCAAGCTCGTGAGCAGGTTGGTTTACACATGTAACCACCTACAGTCCGAGCTGGCAAACCTCCAGCGGGCTGTGCGGAATCAAAAGACTCAGCACGAGGATGCCACACGGGCACTGGACGCCCGTGTACTAGACCTGGAACAGGCTGTACCAGGACCAGCTGCTGGGGCTTCCAGCAGTGCATCCTCTAGCCGCCAACTGGAGGAACGCGTTGACCACGTAGTGGAAATGCTCGACGACATCAGCACCTTCGCTGCGTCGACCACCATCAGCAGTCAGCTGCATACATTGAAGACCGAGGTCCAGCAGTTACAGTCGACGAACACGGATGACAATCCGAAGATGTACAAGATGCCAACTTTCCAACTGGACAAGTTTGACGACTACACACAGCAGGATCCGGTCCTCTGGTGGGAAGCATTCACAACGCAACTCAGGATTCTGCCCGTAGCCAAGCATGCGTACATCGGCGCCCTGTTCCTGAACTCAAAGGGCGGATGCCAGACCTGGTTGAGCCACCTGGCAACCTCCCACGGCGTCGACGTACCGGACTTGAAGGACAAGATCACATGGGAGGAACTGACACGGCTGTGGAAGAAGCGGTTCATCGTCGAAGACGCGCCGGCACTCGGCATCAACCGTCTGTTCACCATGTCACAGGGCAACATTGCAACATGGGATTGGCTCACGGAGTGGCAGAAGATTGCGACGGTGCCCAATCTGGAATTGGCATTCACGCATCTACGCCGTGAGTTCTACAACAGGTCATGTGCGGCATTGAGCCAGGCTCTTGGTGATCGCGAGCAGTACTCAACCTTTGCTGAGATCATTGACAAAGCAAGGGAGATCATCAAGACCAACAGGTCAGCTGCACACGAGAAATCAACATGGCAGCCGACCTATGTGGAGAAGGTACGAACTGGTCCGCGACAGCAGCACTTCGCTGCAGTCCAGTCGGACAGTGGAGATAACCCAGCAGCCACTCCAGCATCAAGTGACGGAGATCAGGTGGCTGCTGTCCAGCCGCGAAGCAACAACAAGTCCCGCAACAATGGGAAGGCGAAATCAGCATCGCAGGCCGGAAATGGACAGCCAATACAAGTTCCATGGGTCAAGTTCGGCTTGACCGAGGCGGAGTACAAGGTCCGCGGCCGCTACGGCAGCTGCTATTGGTGCAACAGCACCAAGCACAAGACCTCCCTGTGCCAGGATCAGGGCAAGGAGGATGTGCGMCCCCGCCTCAGCTTGGGAAACCGAGCTGCGCGGAAGGTGAGGCGCCTCCACCTTCTACTCCGCCAGATTCGCCCGCCTTGCTAGCGGCCTCCTGCACATCTGGGGAGAACGCGAATGTCGCAAGTTCTCGTTACACTTACGATGACTATGCTGTCCACTTGGTTCCATGGCTGGACCAACCGCTCCACGTGCAACAATCCATCGCATGCACGGTTTCATCACCATCGGCAACCGATTCGGCACCTTCGCCGCAATCTATCGTCGGGGATTCGACGTCATGGTGAAGACTTAAAGAGCTCGACCCATTGACGTTCACGGACTTCCAGTGGATGCCCGTTCCCTCGACCGGACGATTGCCGAAACCGCATTGCAACGTGCTCATGGCACAATTGTGGGATTACTTGCACATTGCAGTACCCACTCCGTTGATGGACGCCGGAGTAGAGGTTGTCGACCTTTACGTCTACATTGGGAAGATCGACCGCGAGTTCAAGACGCAACGGTATGACGACATCGACGCACCATTGCTATATGTACGCATTCAGATCGGAGAAGTGACCTGCAGCGCTTTGATCAATTGCGGAGCATCTCGCAACTACATCAGCCAGAACTTCATGGTGCGCGCCGGCCTTGGCCCACGCGTTCGGAGGGAGCCCCAGCCTACGCAAGTCACATTGGTGGACGGTCACATGCACAAGTCAATCGACCGGTGCATTGACAGCGTCCCTGTGTACTTTGCCCCTCACGCAAGTGAGGCGGTGTCCTTTGACATTCTGGACACCAAATTCGACATGATCTTGGGCATGTCATGGCTGCGAAGCAAGGMTCACCCSGTGAACTTCTTCAACCGCACCGTTCACGTTCGTGATCGGAACGGAGTATTAGTTCCATGCACGGTGCCTCTTCCTCATCCTTCGATCAGCTGCCAAGTGGTATCCGCCGCAAGCATGCGAGCTTCCATCATCAGAGACGACATCGAGGAGATGGGGGTGTGTTTTCTCTATGCCCTCCCGCCCCATGACGCTTCATCGACGGACTCACCTTCGGATCCACGCATCACCGAACTTCTCGACGCCTACAGCGACGTGTTCGAAGGCCCGCACGGAGTAGTACCGGATCGGCCCATCCGCCACGAGATCATACTCGAGGACGGGGCCGTACCTCCGCGCGGTTGCATCTACCGAATGAGCGAGGATGAGTTAAGTGTGCTTCGGGCACAACTCGACGACCTTCTGGAGAAAGGCTGGATTTGGCCTAGCTCATCGCCATACGGTGCTCCTGTTCTCTTCGTCCGGAAGAAGAACAAGGATTTGCGGTTGTGCATCGATTATCACAAGCTCAACGCGCAGACGATCAGAAACGCCGGCCCTCTCCCACGCATCGACGACCTTCTCGAGCGACTGGGCGGCGCCAAGTTCTTCTCCAAGCTCGATCTCAAGTCGGGATATCACCAACTTGAGATTCGCAAGGAGGACCGTTACAAAACCGCGTTTAAGACGCGATATGGGCATTTCGAATGGCTGGTCATGCCATTTGGCCTTACGAATGCCCCGGCCACTTTCCAAGCGGCTATGACAACGGAGTTCCGATACATGCTGGATCGATACGTACTTATCTATCTCGACGACATCCTGGTGTACAGCCGGAGTTTGGAGGAGCATGTGGAACACCTGCGCACCGTTCTGGAGCGGCTACGACAAGCCAAGTACAAAGCCAACCGCGACAAGTGCGAATTCGCGCGGCAGGAGCTGGAGTAAAATTCAATGCCTAAGTTCTTCGCAAAGGTTTCGTTGGCAATACATTACCCCTGAGCGGCATTTCGATGGAGGTGGAGGAGGATATTTCAGATTGGGTGAGTTGAGGGAGAATATTATGTTGGCAGAAATATCATATTCCCCTCATCATGCGCTGCTACCACTAAAATTGTTAACGTGTTTACTTTTTGGTAAGAGATGAAGATACACAACCAGTGTATTCTGCATGTCTTGTTTGATCGTCGATCGGATGCTGTTGGCGGCATCCTTGCGGTACAATGGATGCTTTCCTACTTCTGCTTACTCCTCTTCTTCATTGTCCCTCATCCGGTTGGTTGATTGCACGGGCAGGCATTCTTGTGTATGCTCTCCTCCCCACCTTCCCCCACCCTCTCCCCCCGTCTCCTTGAAAGGCCGGCAGCCAGGGCTAGTGGCTATGGAGGATCATCACTGCCTAGCACGGATGTTCAAAGGACAATGCACTGCTAATATGACTCTCTCATCTCCTATCGCCATGCCTTACTCAAAGATAACATCCATGTCGGGCTGCTACCCCGTTAGGGGGTTTCTTGATGTGTTGAAGATTAAGGTCCACCGGAGCCAAAGGTAAGTCTTCTTGTCGGTTCCCTCCTTCTTCCTCCTACTCTCACCTAGTAGAGTCCTGCTAACTCCATAGCCAAACGGGGGCATCTTCTCTCTCCCTCTTCCCCACGTACTCCTCAATAGCCATGGAGGTCTTCTTCGTCACCCTCTACTCCTCCTCCATCACTCAAGAGCTCCACACTTATTCCCTCTGGGTGGAGCAGCAGCATGACTGCCCGATGAACACCCGAACTACTCATTGCACTGAGTGATATAAAGTCTTCCCTTTTGGCCTTTAGACCCCTCACCTAAATGCCTCCGGGGCACTACTGGAGAACTAGGCCTACCTTTTCTCTGCTCTTATGGCAAGAACATCGTTGTAGGCTATAATCCTGTCTACAGGAGCTGAACCTACTGGAGTCTCTCGCCTCTCCGAGTTGCTGGAAGATCCCTACCGGGTCCCTAACAGACTCTACTTCTGTACAGGGTCTCCATAGGACTTCCCAGAAGTACTCCTGTTATATACCCGATTGAACTTCAATCCACAACGAATTCACACGTTCCCATACACGCATGCAATTTCAGAGTAGACTCGAAGGAGGCAAATCCACACAAAACCAGAGAGGAGATATGCACAGCGGAAGCTCAAAATACACAGAGAATTGAAAAACGAATTTCAATTCTGCAATCCCACATCCTCCTCCAATCAATCCAGAATACTTGTTCCAAGAATCCCAACCACGTTATCAACACCCATGGACCAATTATTTACAAGATTTCATCGAATACTTTGGGAGTCTTCTTCTTCCTCCCTCTTCCTCAAGCTCTAGCTATGGTGCCTGCGGGCACCCAACCTATCAAGTCTGCCAATCGCCACACACCCTCCTAAATCCAACACCCCTCTGCACCACTCAAGAAGCCCACTGCAGATGACGTGTCCACTCAGCAGGGGAGCGCAGCTCCCAGGATGATGAAGAA